GTTGTATCATCATCCTTCGGTGATCTGTTGAAACAAAATAGGTTATGATGACCAAGTATATTCATTGAAACAGCCACTGAGGCCATGACTGTCCAGGAGAGAAAGAATCTTCCACAGATTTTGGGAAACAAACACCACAAAAGACATAGTGACAAATTTTGGTAGAAAGAAATGGAGCAAAATGTTCAAAGAGAATTTACCGTAGTTTCTTGGCTCTAAGGCACATGGTTTTTACAAGAAAATTCTTTCCTTGGTTGGAAAGTTAATGCTGAAATTGAGGTGCATCTTATAGCCAAGTATTTTTGCACAACAAAATCTTGATATCACAATTTTAGCAGAACTTATACTGTAGTTAAAAAGACAAGAAAAGGACACTAACTGTTGAGAGAAAAAGGAGAAAAAGCAGAGCTTTTTGGTCTGAGGTGTAGTGAAGATTACATCAAATTCAAACTTTTATTCCTATGAATTAAAAACAAATACTGCTTTTAGAACACTTAAATCAACTTCTATAGAAAAGCAAACAAGTGGAAATTTGCATACGTGCTCGGTAACATGAAATCCAACTCAGGTCTTTTGGTTTGTAGTGTTGCAAGGATGCACACTTTGTTGTCATCAGCAGCCCACCAGAAAACAGGACATGTTGCTGGTTGCATCATTTTCTCACCATGAATTCTGAAATGCCATATTCATGGGCAATTTCACGATTGTTGTTGACTGCCCCAGCTTTGGCAACAATTTTCAACTTGAAGTTGAGGTCATATCAGTGATGGTGAGTGCTTAGCATATTTGCAATCGAACAAGAAGTTGAAGTTAAACTCTGACTTTTTAGGCAGAGAACATATCAGTTAGTTTTGCAATTGAGTTTAAATCAGTTGGTTGATGTTTAACCCTTTAACTCCCATGGGTGACCAAGAGAGAATTTCTCCTTAAAATATTTATACAATAGCAACTAGATAAGTGATGAGATTAAAGGAAAAGATCAATTTGGGGATAATTACTTGATCCAAAACAAAATTCTCTCAATGAACATTGTAAGAATTGTATGGTTGATGGTAAGGAGAATTACAAATTGGATCTGGGAGTTAAAGGGTTAATAGAATGAAATATTATGAATATTCATAATCAGGTGTGAAATTTTAGCCTTGGTTTTTATGTAGATCATTAAATGTGTGACTTTTTCACTTTTATTTACATTTTAACAAAAGAGTTTGCATGCCAGTTGTGTAGGAATAATTGTTCTCAGTTCCATTAAATCCTTTTGTTAACTCTCATCCTTTTGGTGCATCTTATAACCAAGTATTTTCACGTAATTTTCAGTCTGGGAACTTGGCTTGACTAAGTTATTAAGTTTGAGGTGCATCTTCGAACCAAGTTCGCCTTATAACCAAGAAACTATGGAAAAGTTATTAAAAGCAAAATGTTCAGAGAGAATTTATAGTTAAAAGCTTCAAAAAGCCAGTGAAAATTACCCTTAAGTTTATATTGTCACTTATTGTCCACAATCCACAATGTGAAATCTTCATAATGCTAACTCATGCAGTTGCATGTAATCCACACAACATTTTAAAGGAATCCTGTTGAGGTAATAACTTTTCAAAACAATTTGGTGATAATAAGCACAAGTAAATTTTTCAAAGACAACATAATTGCAAGAGTGCATAAGGCAAGTGCAATTTGTACATGTGTAGCACTTATTCACAATTTTAACAGCATACTATTTATAACATGTACTTATGTTACAACTTTGCACTTGTGCTGTGTGAAAAATGCACTTGTTTTCAGCCTATCAGAAGTGCATAATTTTTTGTGTTTATTATCATGCATTTAATTAAACTTTATTTGACCACTCACAATGAAGTCTTTAAGAGTGGAAAGACTTACAAACAAAGGGGATACTTACTTGATAGTCTCAATGAAATTGTTTTCTTCACAGTCTTCCAACACAATAAGAGCCATCCTCATGGAGGCACATAACTGTGAAGCTGATGCAATGCTTGATTCCTAATGTTAACAGTAAATCCTAATGGTCTCCAGCTTCTTGATGATGATTGTTGTTGAATCTGAACTTTTTGCTGAGGACACATACAGGCATGCTCCCTTTCCACTTTCCTTTTCCTGTAATTAAAGTTGGCCATATTAATGCAACACTTTTAAAATCAAATTCTCCAAACCTGATTGCGTATTAAATAGTCAGTTACAAGGAAACGCTCCTTACTCACAATCACTTTTCGTTTTTTTCACGATGGCCATATTGAACTAACAGCTAACAAGCAAATGGTGTATTTCTTACGAGTTTGTCCACGACGATAATCGACCTCTCGAGGAAGGCATGGTTTGTTTACCCACGAAGAGCAACATCTACCAAAAACCCACAGCAAAACACATGCCCTGTTTAGCACGAGCAAGATTTTTAAAGTAAGACGACTGAAACTTTTAAAGGATCGTATCGCGCGATGAAATGATAACACATACAGACTCACCTCAGCTCTCTTTGCAGTTGTAACAGAATCCTCACTTTTACTTTCGACCATTGTTTAATTGAAGCAGCAGATTGTGATATGATGTTGGACTTCATCCTCTGAAGGCACTGAAGTTCATAACCTTTTTTGCCTTTTTGCTTTGCACTAAAATACAGCCTGTTGAAAAACTCTCGCTCTTCTTGCCAGCGCCAGCGCTCGCGACAATCATCCACGTGTTCTTTCTTGCATGATCTAATATATATTTCATCCAGTTCTCACCTAATCGTACCATTTTGGCACGCAGTCGAGCCAATACACCCCTGGCGATAACAAACGAGCCTGATTTGCTGCCGAAGCGTACCAGGAAGGTACGTCTAGTTATTCACTCTTTCTAAATTCAGTAAAATCTCAAGTGATGTTATTTTGAAGTTACGGCGATTAAATATGTCAGGCACTCTATGAAGTGGCCGTGAGAAGAATAGTACGAGTCAACAAACGGCGCGAAAAGATGACGAGAGTTACAATACACAACAAACAAGGGAGTTACTACATCACGGGCGACGAGCGGGGATAGAAAAAACGACCCAATTACGAGTGGTCAGCGGTGAAACAACTTTCATGCTTCATATATAGACAGATCATTTGTAGTATCAGGAAACAATCGTGTTGTAAAGCCGAAGTGTAAACAGTTTACTTCGCTAAATAAAATGTTAAGCAATTCAAAAGTGTTGATTGTACATATATCTTTTACTGCTTTAATAAACAATGAAGGCATCGGTGGCATCCGAAAGGTACCAAGAAGAATTAAATGTACGTTTTGTAGTTGCAGAAAACAATCGTGTTGTAAAGCCGAAATGTTACTAAGTTACACTTCGCTACTTAAAAAGTTAAGCAATTTTCCTCAAGCTTTAACTGGAACAATACTTTTAATGCTCTATTAACCAACGGAGGCATCGGGAAAGGCATTGGTGACACCGGGAAAGGCATCAAGAAGAATGATATTCACAACTTGTTGTGTGACGAAAAAAAAGTATCTTGACTTGTTCAAAGCATTAATCACAGTTGGCTTCCTTTTCACTTGAATTTTGTATCCACAGCCTAAGATGAGAAATTTAAAATTTCTATCAGCTGAAGTTCTTTTACTGCGTATTATATCTATTCAATCACCCCCAATTCACGTGGAAAAAAGGCAAGTAGGAAAACACTGAGCTTCGAGAAACAGCCATGTTAAGGCTAATGTATTTACCATTCCTTAAATATTTACAATCAAGACCACTCGTTCGGGAGACCTTTTCTCAAAAGATCCACACGTGCAAATAATGCTGTTTTCCGTTCGAAATGTTCTTCTTCCTATTCAATTGAACAACTGACTTAGCGTTTAAGCCGAGAAAAAAAATCACAAAGGTTGAATTCTGGGATGTTGTCCACCGTTGGCTCCATCAAGTTACGATTCTGCACCATTGACGCTCGTGAAAATCTATCTTAATTGACTACCAAGGACTGTATTTCTTATCTTGCAAATTAAGGTCTGTACATGACATTAAGTTCATCATCTGGTTCGTTGTTATAGTCAGCTTTAAAATTTAAACTCTACTTGTGCTGACAAGAAGCCACCCTAAGGGCAGGTGAAAGTTCCTGCCAAATTTGATTGACATTTTTGACAACCGGAAATCATGATACTTTTTTTTCGTCACGCACGTCACGCAGCTAGCTACAAACCATATATATAATTATTCTTGGTGCCTTTCCAAATGCCACTGACTCCCTCTCCGAAGTCTCCATTGTTTATTAAAGCAGTAAACGATATGAGTTCAATCAACACTTTTGAAAAATTGCTTAAACTGTGAAGTAAACTGTTAACATTTCGGCTTTACAACACGATTGTCTCTAGAACAACAAATTATATGTCTCTATATGAAGTATAAAAGCTGTTTCACCGCTGACCGCTCATATTTGGGTCGTTTTTTCTATCCCCGCTCGTCGCCCGTGATGTAGTAACTCCCAACAAACAAAGGGATAAATTATGGTTGAAAAACAAGACTATCACCTTTTATGCCGATAAGAACTGTTTTACAAACCTCGTCACGTGGAAACGAACACACAGAAAGTTAAAAAATGCTTATCACTTTGAGATTTCAAATCAGTTCGTCTCATTAGTTTTAAAAATTTTCAGTTTCAGGAATCAGAGTTGAAGAAAAATACTAGCAGCACTGGAACTCAAGGAATTCTGCGGACTGCGATCTGGTCTTGTTTAACACTTCTGTCGGAGTGATTTCCAAATTTTTTTTATTCTCAGCAAACTCGCCCCGTTGATTGTTGTTCAGTGTAGATGGTTCAAATTCTTCTCTCCACGCTGCGCGTGTTTCTCAGTGAAAATGCTTCAGAATCTGACAGTCAACAACATCGCTCTTTTCAAGTCAATTATTTGCCACGTATGTGGTGCAAATTGTGTTGACGTGCTTATATTAATACTATTTTTGTCTTCAACACTTTTTTCGAGTTCCTCATTGAAGTCTTTTTTAACTCCCTCTCTGGGAGGTTTTTAAGCTCAAAATACAACGCAAATTTAAGAACTCCGACTCCACTGATTCTATGTCAGCTAATGTCAATGTTTCAGCACTCTTCGACAAACATACAATTTAATAGCGAGTAGGAGTGCTCTCAAGTCTAGTTATGGCGGCAATATTTATCTATACATATATTTTTTTCCAACCTGTAAACACCAGCTAAACTCAAATAATGAAGTTTTGTACCAAGTCTCGCAGTCATAAAACCTACATTTACAGTGTGGTAACCCGCCTAGCCGTGGTCGAAAAATAAAACACGTTTACATGCAATCTTACAACCCCGGGGTGCTGAGGTGAGGTTTCTTGAGGTTGTTGTTGCGCTTGCATTTAGGGAGTTTGAGCACAAGCCTCGCAAGCTCACATCTCGAGAAAGACGAAAGATTAATTCTCAGACATGTATGTATTTATTCATGAAAGCGTCACGCGTTGTGTTACGCGGTTTTAGATTACGCGAGGAGTCGTAGACTTATACGTTACTTTATAAGGAATAGTTTGGGAAACGAAATATGGTCGATTTACAACGCCTAATATTCCGATATGTGAACATTTTACACTCTCGTGTGTCCGTTGCGGTTTCTGGTGATTTCTGCCTTGAGACGTCTAGGAAATGCTCAAAGTTTTAAAACACGTGTTTAGCTTTTGAGGTTTTTGCCATGAATGCGACCCTGGCTAGGCGGGTTAGCCTACCTTGAGACGTTTACATGGCAAATTGTCACCCCGGCTGACAGGGTTACCCTACCTGGCAGAAAGGGCAACCCGCCTTGGCGGGTTACCCTACCTATCATGAAAACGTGATCAAGATAAAATGAGAGATTATATGGAAAGGCGGGTTACCCCACCTCGGCGGGTTACCTCACCTACCTGGGGTCCCCCACCTCCATGTAAACAGGCCCTAAGTGGCGAGGTGTTGTTAACCATTCTCATCAGAGGTCATTCGCCGAATTTTCTTGTTAGTAATATAAAAGCCAACGGTGATTATGTAACGAAAAGAAATCATACATGGCTGCTTGGAGATATGGAATTTCTCTTAACGTCTTAAACTTGTTATCTCACGAGTGAGCACAGCGAACGAGAAATTTGAAGAGAGATTCCATAACTACGCACACCCATGTGTTATTTTCTATTTAATTTGAAAGTGGCCATGATATCGTGGCCATGAGATTATAAAACAATATAATATCTCTTGGTCGTGGCATATCAGGACAGTGACGAAATATCGTAGGATTGGAGGGATGTTAGATTGCGTTTCTGATTGTTTACTTGCAAACATGGGTTTGGTAATCTGCGACATATCAGGTCAAACGTTTCCTTATACCCTCTCACACATGTAAAGACACTGACGGATGAATAGAGCTGAAACAGACTATTTTATCCATTACTAATGACATTTCTAGCTCTATGCAGTCTGCCAAAATACTCCGTCCTGATTACAACTTTTTTCTGGGTTTGGGGTGGGCAATCAGACTGAATGAGAAAATTTGGGATAATTATGGCATTTTATTGAGATGCGGTAAGTTTTAATCAACAAAAAAATCACCTATGTCATCTACGCTGATAGACATACAACCTAACAGCAGTAGGCATATTCTCCATGTTATCTTCTGTACATGTTTATAAGATGCTGACGAGGAAAATTTGTTAAACAATTGAGAACTTCTTAAGCTGGTGATCATTTCCTTTATTCTCATGACCTTACTGTTTGACTGAGGGGAGAAATTAGATGCTAATCGTTCTTAGGGGTCAATGGTTAATGGATAGTCATCTAAAATAAACCACATTTTTTTATGATTTTTATTTACTTAGGCAGACGAGCTTGACAATATACAGCATTCTACACTTCCATTTGTATCCGTAAACAGCATCTTCATTCGTTAGCTCAACATGAACCAAAAGAGATTGACTGATACATATGACTTATTTGATGTTCGTCCTCCTGTCTTTCTGTATTACGTCCATGAGAAGACACAAGTGCTTTGCACTGTAAGTATTAAGCCCGCTGGGCTCGTCTTTTTCAGGTGTGATAATCCCGAAGTTAATTTGATTTAATCTCATTAAATATGTCATGGGCCGACTAACTTAAATTATCAACACTCTCGAGTTAGCAGCTGGATAATGTTACTATGTCGATATTCGAATGTCATGGTTTTTTCCCGCCTATCTTTTCTTTGCAGTTTCGTATTTCAAACGCGTGATTCAGTAGCAGTAGAGATGGCACCTAGGAAGGGTTTCTCGCCCTTCACTCCGGTCATCAGCCCTGAATTAAGTCCACAATTGACTTAGTTCATTCTAAGTTCGAAAGTTTGTGGATCAACGCCGACGCAATACTTTAAGCGGTCGCCTGTTGTCGCCAGTTTTCCAAGCGATTTTCAAAGAATCGACAGTGCCCACATTCGGCTGCTAGATGGCCACCATTACTCGAACAAGAAGTCCTCTAATGCAACGGAAATTGTCTGTTCCTCGTTTGGGTTGATAACCACTCTGCTTCGCCGTTCCTCTTCAGAAAGCTCTGAGTTCATTTCGCAGCTGAGAGATTTGCTGAACTCAGTATATCTCAGTAAAATGTCTGTCGACGAAGAAAATGAAGGCCAAGCAAACAAAGAACGACCACGTGCTTCACGATGCTTGGAAATGCCAACGACACCAACGAACAAGACATCATCTGTGGCCATGACACCCCCCAAACAGTGGAAACTCGCAAAGAGCTGAAAAAAAGAATGTTTCCCCAAATCTAAAGGAGATCAGCGAAAAGGAAGATTTGGATACTCCAGAAAAGGTGCTGTTGATGAAGCAGCGAAGCAGTCGCGTCATCAAGGACGTGCATAACGTGTGCGAAAGAAACAGGGAAAGTTTGGCGAT